CTAAACACAATACCATAGTAAGAGATAAATTACAACTAATAAGCCAAACACAATACAACTAATAAGCCAAACACAATATCATAGTAAGACAAACGAATTTTACATGGTTCAACAAGTTGTCTACGTCCACGGGATAAGGAAGGGGGGTTCTTACTATTAGAAATCAAGAGAATACAAACATGGTTACAAATCTCTCAAATAAACCCTAAAACAAAGCATCCAGATCTCTCACAAATCTTTCACAATTGGATACAACAATTCTCTCTCAAAGACTGCTCAAAACGTCATTGTTTAACCCTAATTAATTAGGATTAGGCTTATATATCAACTCAGAAACGAACCGGGTCAAAGCCTGTAACCCAGAAAATAACCGCTACGCGGTCGACCTCACACCCCACGAGCGGTCGACCTCACACCCGGTCGACCGCCGCTGACTCGCGGTCGACTGGCAAACATCCTGGCAGCTTTTCCTGTGCTTTTCTGAACTGTTCTTCGTCGCGTTCGTCATTTATTCAGTCTGGATAGTTGGAATGTTTTCCAGAACGTATCTGGACTTCGTGCATGTTTCCGGTCGACCGCCGCTGACTCGCGGTCGACTGGCAAACATCCTGGCAGCTTTTCCTGTGCTTTTCTGAACTGTTCTTCGTCGCGTTCGTCATTTATTCAGTCTGGATAGTTGGAATGTTTCAATATAGCTTCCATGGTCAATTGGAGAACTGTTTGTTCCCCCAAAGCCAGCGGAGGTCTGGGTGTGATTAACCTTCATCTTTTCAACCGTGCCCTCCTCTCCAAATGGCTATGGCGCTATCATGATACCTCCAGCTATGTAGGGAGGGTACTCCAATCTATCTACTCCTTCCACCATCACAGCTCATCCCCGTCCAATCTCTGTTCTCACTTCTGGAAAGACGTCCACTCATGCTCTGACATCTTCTCCCCCTTCATCTCATGGTCGATTGGTAATGGCTTAGCTGCATACTTTTGGGAAGACAAGTGGACAGGAGCCAACTCTCTCGCTAGCCTCTTTCCCCAGGCATATGATTTAGCTTTCTCCAAGTTCGTCCCCGTTGCATCTCAAGGGAGATTTCATGAGGGATCATGGGTCTGGCATCCAATCATCAGGCGTCCCAGGAATGTCGTTGCTAGGACCCAAGTGCAAGCTCTTCTAGACCATCTATCCTCTCTCAACCTTGCTCCTTCACCCTCCGCAGTCTGCCCTGACAGCCCATCTTGGTCGCTATCAGCCTCAAAATCCTTCTCAGTTAATTCCCTTCGCCGCTTCCTAGCAGATGGAGGTATGAGATCCAAACACCTTCCATCCATATGGAACAACTTCCTGCCAAGTAAAGTTCGGATTTTCTTCTGGCTCCTAAGCTCTCTTAGATTGAAGACTAAGGATAGACTAGCCTCTCAAGGGTGGCTAGCTGACTCCAGTTGCAGCTACTGTCCAGAACAAGAATCTCACGACCACCTGTTCTCCTCTTGCATCCGGACTCAAGTTATCTGGTCACCCTTCCTCCTTAAGTTAGGCATGGCCTCCCTCCCTGCTAGCACATCCAAGTGTCTAGATCTCTGTTCAGACCCAACTGTCCACGCCTCCACCCGCCTCTTATGGAGTGTATGCTTTCCTACCATCAGCTGGGTCCTGTGGCACGATCGTAACAATTTGATCTTCCGCAACAGCTCATCTTCGCCCCATAGCATTATTAAGAAGTATGTTAACTTCATTCTTCTCTGGGCAGGGGCCTCCAACTCCAAGAAATCGCTCGAGATCAAGAAGCTCATTCAAGACGTAGGGCTCTCAGATATCCTTGAATCAAGCGAGGACAGCAACTCGTCGCCTTGAACTGTTTCCCCCAAACCTGGTTCCTACTCTTATCGCTGTGGGTTATTTTGGTGCAGCAGTTAACATCCTAGTTTTTTTTTCTTTTGTTTTAGAGTGACTTATACTGTACATTTCTGGTTGAATTTTGTAATCTCTCCTTTTGACATCCACTACTGATTTGGCCTTGTTCTCCACCTCGGAGCAGCAGCCTGAATCAGTAGTAGATATCATTTTTTGTTCCATCCCACCTTGGGCTTCAGTAATATATTGATAGGGAAATCCCTATTTTCACTCAAAAAAAAAAAGGTTTTCTGTAAAAGTTATCGGGTGTATAGTGTGATTTTGAAAGTTAAAGGGAGTTCACTGCAAGACGCTGAATGTTCTGAACTTCTATTTCCATTATCATAAATCTCATGTCTCCTCAACTTTTCTAATTTCCTCTCTCTTAACACACACACATATACATATATATATATATATAGAAAAATGGATATGTTTGGTACCAAGCATAAAAAGTGGTGTTTGGTAGCGAGGTGACATAATCCCCTCCACTCATTCAAATGATTGTATATCCATATGCATTCCTCAACCTATGTGAATATGATCCCTCATTTGAATGAGTGGAGGGGATTGTGTCATCTCACTACCAAGCACAAAATTTATGCTTGATACCAAACATACTCATTTTTCTCTCTCTCTCTCTCTCTCTAAAATGTATATATATATATATATATATTAATCATATCAAACATTTTTTATCAATTATCCATGACACGTGTTAGTGTTTCTATCGCCTAATTTCGGTGCTTCCTGTCTCTAGAGTCTACGGCTCATCCCCCCACTAAAGTGATGTTGCCGACAAACTATGGAATAGGAAGACAAAGCTTGAAGCCCTAAACGATGCCTCCTCATGGACCACGAATCGCCCCGGTCCTCAAACCATCCCGAAAAAGCTGCCTACCCCACCAAAACTTGAACCCCCGCATCATCACTTTTTTTAACCTCCTCACTCGTGCCCAAATTAGAAGTTAACCCTACATTTAAATATCAAATTTTCAACACAGTAGGTGTCCTACACATTCCTTTATATAGAAAAAGCATATAGTAAGATAGGCTTTCAGTGAACTTATTGAACTGGACATCTGGTGTTCTAAGAGAACAGACGAGAACCTTTGGGTTAGCGTTATAAAATATGAGTGCGGGTGACACTCCTATTGATTACATTCTATTGAAAAGTTCTCTCTATCTTATGGTTCTTGTTTTTTGTATGGTAAATTATAAATCGTCTATTTTTGTATCAGCACAAAATAAAAAGCTTATATATTATTAATATGTTGATAAAATGACTCTTCTTAATTATCTACAAGGGAACACCACATAGTTTTCCCTCTTTATATATTTAGTCCCCACCCACCCACAGCATCACACTAAAACGCACGCCCACCTTTCAAAATGTCCAAATCTCCTCTCTTCCTCCTGTTCCTCTTCCTCCTCCTCCTCCTCAACGTTGAGGCTAAACCAGCCAATTTCATCAAAACAAGCCCAAGCCCATCGAAGGCCCGTCTAAGACGGAAGATCAGCCACCTCCACTTCTACTTCCACGACATCGTCAGCGGCCGCAATCCCACCGCGGTCCGGATCACCCAACCCGTTAACAACTCCTTATCCATATTCGGAATGATCTCCATGATGGATGATCCGTTAACCCAAGGCCCAAGCCCAAACTCGACAGAAGTAGGCCGGGCCCAGGGAATGTACGCCGGTGCTGCCCAAGATGAGGTGGGCTTTTTGCAGGCCATGAACTTGTGTTTCACTGCGGGGAAGTATAACGGGAGCGTGTTAACGGTTCTCGGGCGCAACGCCCCGATGCACCCGATAAGGGAGATGCCCGTTATTGGAGGGAGTGGGCTGTTTAGGTTTGCTAATGGGTATGCTTTGGCTAGGACTCACTGGTTTGATTTGAACACAGGGGATGCAACTGTAGAGTATAACGTCACCGTTATGCATTATTGAGGTGGGCCTTGGGCTTGGGCTTCGATTGGCTCAATAATTGTGTGTTACAGTTGTTTTATACGGTTTACATTGGCCTTTTTGTTTGTTTGGTGATGTTTCTGATTTTGTTGTTAGTGGAGAATCTTACTATGTATCTTCGCTCTTTGGCAATGGAAGTTAAAATATACATACATCTTTATCAGGTATATAGTGTTTGGCTCCTCAATGATATGTATGAAAGCAGATCTATTTTCATGGACATGTATTTAGTAATACATCGTCGGATGTGGTAAGGATTCAACCTAAAAATTTTGATTTGGATTTCAATCCTCTCATTTAACACTAGTTCAATGCTCGGTGTAAAACATCTCACTCCTATAAAGATGGTTTTGATAGAATCCATGCGGACTAAGAATCATTTTTCTAAATTTTTAACTTCTTAGATTAAGTATATATTGACATAATGACATGATATTCTTTTGATAGACACGACCTCTGATACTTTGGATATCATCCAAGCAAAGAAATTGTATCAAAAAAGAACAAAAAAGAGAGGAAAAAAAAATATTTCAAGCAAAGAACTTGTTTTAAAGTGATATATTTTGCCATCTTCGAGATTCTGTTTGTGCGTACGTCTAACTCTCTCCAAAGCCTACAATGGTGAGAGTCTTATGCATTGATGTCCCTTTTTAGAGCTCTATTTCTAAATTAAATTCTGAAGATGATGATATGAAAGACTAAATAATGGTGAAACTTCAACTCAAAAATTTACTCGGAATAAAATTCTAATTGTATGTAGATTCCTGAAAATGCCTAACCTTATGAGCCATTATGCATGAGGAATAATAA